GGATGCTTGAAATGTATGCGTGACGTTTCTGGCATTCATTTTGCTTCTCTCAGACTGGACCTCTCTGCTGTGACTGGGTCAATTTTTTGGTGCGTTAGCTTCAATTTTCAGCACCGAATGTCCACTTTAAAAAGGCTGAAGGTGAACAGGAACTCATCTAGAGGCATGAATATTAAAGGAAGAAAGTCAGCATTTACATAACACCACCAAATCTGTAGCACTGAGAAGTACACTGTTATTACTCTGACAGAGCTCAGGCTCCAAGCATAACTTTCCTTTTGTTCAAACTCTTTACTCACAAACCTTCAAAGCGAGAGTTAAGATCTTTTGGAGTGGAGTTAAACTATTAACAGTTAATGTTTTACCTGATGTGGATAAATTATTTAATGGCCTCAGTTTGGGCAGATTAAGGAACTAATATCTAGTTCACCCTTACTCCACCAATAAAATCATTTTCTGCAGTTAATCTGGCAGAAATTATATGATAGGAAGTGATCCCAGGCCAGAATTGCTACAGTGTGTGTTTGTATTTACACCCCTGTGTTTTCAATGATTACTATGTAATGCAAAATTGACATTATGTGGATTTCTAAAGTGTTTGCAGGAATCACAATAAAATATTTGATTCTGGAGTTGGTTTCAGATGACAGTGATTCACTTTTGTGGAACAGTTTTAGAGCATCAGTCTAGCTTGAAAAAGTTCCAAAGCTATCTCCAAGTTTGATGTCAATTATTCAGATTATTTTAATTAAACCTTACATCAAAAGATCTGAGATATTAGGTTCAGTTTTTCTATAGGGGAAGGTTTCATGTTATCAGTTGTGTTTTAAGCATGCTGTAGAATGGAAAAGGTTAGATACTGAATAAATGTGAGCTATTTCTATTCCTTTGGGATGAACAAGTCCTTGATAGTCATTGAAAGGTTTGAACTTGTAAATATCCCAATGTGACATTTTTACATGAGACATTATTAAGAATAAATTATTGCCTTTATTACAGCCATAAAATACATCGAGGTCTGAGAACATTTTGTCACAAGTTTCACACTGATACCAGAGGTTACATTATCTCAATGAGGAAAATGTTGCAAAACTTTATAATAATGTACCTATCAGCTTTTGTATTTGTATCTTATACACATTTTGCTGTTTAAATGCATATCTTTTTGCCATTTTAGCTATCAATACATTCAGCTCATGTGTGTGTACAATGATTTGTTAAATTTCTGTAACTTTTATAGTTTTCAAAGTATTTAACTTTGTTTGAAAGTATTTTCCTCATAGAAAAACACTGAGATCTCTTCAATTTCTGCAAAACATTTGATTTAAAACTCTCCTCACCACAACTCTCTTTTTCTGTCTTTTTATGCTACTTTTAGCTTTTAGCTAGTGTTTTGTTGCTTTTAGCTTTCAGTTAGCCTTTTGTTTCTTTTCATTTTTAGATAGTCTTTTGCTACTTTTATTTTTTATTAAATTTCATCTGCTTTTAATTAGAGTTTTGCTACATCCAGCTAGCATCCGGCTACTAATCTAATTTTTTGCTGCTTTTAGCCACCATTTAACTTATTTTTCTACTTTTAGATTTTATCTGAAGTTTTGCTTCTTTTCAATAGTTTATAGCAATCCTTTTGTTACTTTTAGCTTTTACCTAACTTTTGCTGTTTTTAGCTTGCATTTATAGTTTTAACTAGCCTTTTCTAGCTTTATACTTATTTCAAGTAGCACATAACTACTTTAAATTTTTTGTTATCCTTCAGTTGTTTTTAGCTTCCTTACCTTTTTGCTTTTTCTAGCTATCCTTTTTACTAATTTTAACTTTTAGCCTTTTTTTTTTGCAACTTAATGTTTTGCTCTATTTGACTATTACCTAATGTTTACGGAAGCGTATTGCTATCAGGCAGGAAAAAAAAAATCCGAGCGCTATCACGTTATAACGTGATACGTATCTTGTTAAAACGTGATACGTATCACGTTTTAACGTGATAGCGCTCGGATTTTTTTTTTCCTGCCTGATAGCAACACGCTTCCGTAAATGTTCTGCTTCTTGTAAGTTTAATAACTCAGTTTCGGCTTCTCAAACAGGTCACAGCAAAGTCATTCAGCTCACATAGTTCACACTGTATTTTCTGTAAAAATGCAGTTGCACTTTGATTTAATCTTTAATTAATTTGCACATTTACTAAATGTTCTCTTCATTTTAACAACAACAGCTGAATTGTTGATCACGTCATGTAAAGAGATTTGGTATCAGAGTGAAACTGTGACTTCCCTTTACTGTTTGTTCAAACTAGAAATATGCCTCAACTACTGAAACCCTCTGAAGCTATGTTTAGAAAACCTCTTCAAGTGTCTCGAGTTTATAAATTGTTTGTAGATAGAAGTTGAACTTGTGACGTGAGCAACGCCAGCAGCTGCACTGGACCGTGGACATGCAGATAGTTAACAATAACTGTCAAATAAAATGTGATGCCCGTTTTGAATGATTGAAAAGGGGGGTTCGGCCATTTAAGAAAGTTATTTTCTCTCCATCTAAGAGGGAAAATGAAGGTTGTTTGTAGCTTTAGAAGCTTTAGAAAAAGGTTTCTAAAGGTTTGAAAGACGTGGCCATTTATCAGGCTGTGAAGCTCTAACAAAGATTGAGTGGCAGTGCAGAAACTGTAGCGGTCGCTGGTTTAAAGGCTTGACCTGCAATCAAGACGAGTCAGAGCTGCTCACTTTCTGTTTCAAACTCATATCTGTTCCAAATGGATCCTGTAAAGATGGGCTCAGTGTCAAAAAAGACTTCTGTTTGTTTAGATTGTGGAGGGCTTACAGCTCAGTTTTGCTGCTGAAAACTAAAATGATAAGAATCCACAGTCATTTACGGAACGTGTGTGTTTGTATACATTGTGTGCAAAACTCCATGTAAGGAAGCAAGAAGTGCAAATCACAACTGAATCTGCAGTAAAACTCAGACTCTCACATCACAGCTACACATCTGCTCACTTCTTCTTGTTGTTGTCTGCTGCCATGGCAGGTGGACCATGATTACAGTGTGTGCATATATATATATATATGTATATATATATATGAGTGTGTGTGTGTGTGTGTGTGTGTGTGTGTGTGTGTGTGTG